AAACACCCCGCATAAAAGGCGGAATCGTTGTTGAAACGAGCACCATCCACTTGTATGCGGGTACCCAATCCATTTGCATGTGATCAGAGCCTGCACCTATAAAACCACTAGTGATAACAACCAGCAAAGAACCCGCTCGGCTGAACCAAATTCACTGATAAACGCATATCCAGGGCACTTTATTGCACTTCAGCAATGGATGAACGTGTCGATTGAGGGAAAAAACACTAAACCGAGGATGGATAACAAAAGCGCGGCTTAACTTGAGTAAAAAACGCGTCACAACGAGTTTGCTCGGCAGCGCTCGCCGGTTCACTGAGGTACAACTCGCTTAGTTTATCCGTCCTGCTATTGGTACTGGCCATGGTACCGGTACCAAAAGCAGATCGGGGCGAGAGGGGATCTTCTTCGCGGTCCGGAGAGAGTGATGCTGCTTAGTGGGTACCATGGTGCAAAGGCCGATCGGATTGGGTGGTACCTGCATCTTATGGTATAGACGGGTTTATCTCTCCCTCCGATCAATATAGCTGTGCGCCGAGAGCTACATTAATCCACTGTTTTATGTAATCGGTTCAGGATTCATAGCCACCAATTAAGGAACCCGATGTGTGGTTCCTTCGTAATTCACCATTTGCCTATCAAGATCCAGTACCACTTTGCTGGCATGCTTTCGCTGCAGCTCAACTCACTGGCACCAGAACCCGGCACGCGCTAAAACACCCCAAATTAGTCAAAAAAAAGCGCAAATGTTGGGCAAAAATGCCAACGCCAGTGCACGAAGAGAACCGCTTCAATCACGTACCAGCTTTTTGCCATTATTTCAGGCTGCAAACTCTCCTACGAGCGCATTATCAGCAACGATCAAAAGAAACTTGCGGATTTTGCAACTGAACAATAACAAAACGTCGTACGTCTCAAGACCATTTAAATCGCTCTTCACTGTCGGGTTTTATAATTTTTCACCTCATTGGTCATGCTCACAGCCCAATCATTGCGCTGTGAGCATG